ACTGAAGAGCTATTGAAATAATAATATGTTTAGTAATGTAACCAAATAACAAATATATGACACAAAAATCGTTCGCTTTCCAGGGTATTAATAATAATCTATGGAAAAATTAATGCAAAACCAGATCCTTTATTATCCAGTATGATAAATAGTTACTGTCTTGTGCCTCACAGTGACATTTCAGTCGCTGATAGACCACATATATGATGGTCCCATGAGATTAGAATGGAGCTGTAAACTTCCTGTCACCTAGTTATGTCATAGCCATTGTAATGTTGTAGTTCAGCACATTACTTGTATGTTTGCGATGATGCTAGTGTAAGTAAACCTTCTGAGCTTCCAGTCATGTAAAAGTTTAATATATATGATTATGTACAATACATACTACTTGATAATGATAATATGTTCCTGAGTTATGTATTTACCACGCTAGACATATTAAATAAAGAAAAGTTGCCTGTGAAACAGTCTCAGGCAGGTCCTTCAGGAGGCATTCCAGAAGAAAGCGTTGTTAGCAGAGGAGATGACAATTCCATGCACATAATTACCCCTGAAGACCTTCCAGTGGGACAATGATACTCATGATCCTAAGCCTATAGGCCTCAGATAATGTGTGTGTTTGTTTTAGTTTTCAACAAAAAAAAAGTTTTAAAAATAAACAAAAAATAAAAAAATAAAAAATGTAAAATAAAAAGCTTACAGAAATACATAAAGAACAATTTTTATGCAGATGTATGTGTTTGCTATTTAAGCTGAGTGTTATTACAGAAAGTCAAAAAGTTAAAAAATTAAAAAGTTGATAAAGTAAAAAGTTACAGTACGCTAAGATTAATTTATTATTAAGAAAATATTTTAATAAATGTAGTGCAGTGTAAGTGTACCATGTTCATAAAGTCTATAGTAATGTACAGTAATGTCCTAGGGCTTCACATTTACTCACCACTCACTCACTGACTCACTCAGAGCAACTTCCAGTTCTGCAAGATTCATTCATGGCACGTGTCCTACACTGATGTACCTTTTTAAAAATATTTCATACTCTATTTTTACTGTACCTATTCTATCTTTAGATATATTTAGATACACAAACACTTTCCATAGTGCTGCAATTGCTTACAACATTTAGTACAGTAACATTATGCACAGTTTTATAGCCTCAGAGCAATAGGCTATACCATATGACCCATGCGTGTAGAAGGCTATGCCAGCTGGTTTGTGTAAATATACTCTATGATGTTTACACAATAAAGTCGTGTGAACAACTTATTTCTCTGAATGTATCCTTCTCACTAAATGATGTATAATTAAGTTTGAATAGCATACAATTACATACTGTATAAGCAATGTATACCATTCTTTGTATATTTTTATAAAAATTATTCTACCTCTATGAAGGCAATTAAACTGTATTGAATAATATAAATAATATTTGAAAAAATAGTTGTTTCTAAGGCAGTAAAAATATTAAGAAAACTTGTTAAATTAAATTACTAAATTAATACAATGTCATTAAATGTCAACAAAAACATTTTTAAATTAATAAAATGAAACCAAATTTCATGAGGAATAATACATATGTAAAAGTGTCCAGAAATTTTTAAGAAGAATATTAGCCCATATATTAAAATGTATTTTAATGTCTTTATACTTAACATCATTTTGCAGGATAATTCATTAGTATCTATTAGAGTTACCTAAACATGCACTTTGATTAACTAGTAATACCAATTCTATAAATTTTCTGTGGTATATTCTGCTAGCAGCACCTATCTAGCTCTCTTTTTCCTCTGGAATAATACGAGAATTATAATTCTGCATCCTTTAGTAGTTAGGCAGACTAATGATGAGGCCAATGTATTTGAAGCAGAAGTGACAAGAATCACACACTGAAACATTTAATTGTTGATATTATTCTTGAGTTTCTCTTGATTTGCTGCAGTGATTATAGACTTGACCTGTGTTTCATATAACAGAACTGAAAATGCAAAGCAGCAAAGCCACTATGTCACTACTTGGAACAAGTTGCTCATGAGATTCTTTGGAAATGCAACAAGCTTTGTGGATGAGAAATAAACTGCTTGTTAAACTACTGAGACTGAGAAATTGTCTGTTACCATAGCACAATATTCCTCACAAAACACTCTTCTTATCGTTCACCTTATAACAAATAAGTAATTATCAATTAAACATAAATGCATTTATTCCACCCAAATAGCCATCTTCTTATGTGTTGTGCTCTTGTCTAAAGTTTTGTTTGCACAAATTGTTTTCCTAATGAAACTGATCACTATAGATCATTTTCCAACTCTAAGATTCGATGATTCTATGATCATTTTCTAATAATTACAAACCACAGTTGGTAATGTTCATCAATTTACTTAACACCTGACACATTAAGTATACTTCTTCACAGAGCTGAAATCAGAAAATTATTACCTTTTTTGAGCACAAGAGATGAAGATACATGATGCACAAATTGCTCAGTGCTAGAATAACTCACTCGGTGAAGAGATGGAAAGAAAGAACACTTGACAGGTTTTTAAAAAGCAGTCTTGAGGGGCAATACCCTGTTTATACTCATTTGTGAGGCTCCTAGTGATAATAGCATCACTTAAACTAGGACTGATTGTTTAACAAGGGAATTCTCACTGAATTGCAGACAGCTTAAAGTTAAAATAACTCTTTGTAACTATTCTTGAAATGTTATGTTCATTTTACACAGTTTTTATTGGAGCCTAATTTCAAAGAAACTTAAACATCATATTAAAGTCCCAATTTGCAGACTCAAAGCATTCATCTCTTGGCTTTTAAAGTATGTTTTATGAACTACAAAACCGTGTTATCTTAGGATGTGATTTTCTGTGTTAAATTGCTGACCCAGTAATGTTTCTGATGTCCTATAAATTATATTTTGGCCTATCACTCCAGCCATATTTTATATCGAAAATCTCATATGCACCAAAACAATGCTTGGCATAAAACATGAGTAGATTAGGTCTTTGCCATTGAAGCACCCCCATGTCTGTTATTCTGGTTTCTGTTTCCTCCTGTCACTCTACGTCTGTCTGTTTCTTACACAGATGTACACACACACCTGCACAAACACATGCATGTACACACACACACGCATGCGTGTGCTATTGCATACAACACTGTACCCCTTTATTAGTCTTTGCTGAGGTTCTTTTTAATAGTTTTTCTTTATAATAGTTGTACTCAAGTAGACACGCAGTTTGGTTTGGACGCTGCTTACTAAAGACATGGCTTCCTGTCACAGAACATAGTAGTTTATCAGTCTGTTCCTTAATCCAGCTGATAGGTTGTTTGCAGGAGGATAAATGATTTATATAGTTCTCAAAGGAGTAATAACAAGACCATCTGTGGAAAGCATCCATGAGTTGTTGACAAGGTTTGGTAGCTGAGAAGCCTTCAACTAATCTGGTCTCCTCGTAATCATCTAGGTGTCTCCGAAATGAGTACAGATTATTATAATAGATTTTCATGAAGTTTAGATAGTTTATCTCTTTCTCTCTGCCTGTCTCACTTTCTCTCCCCACCCCCATCCACTTCTCTGTATATTATGTAGCCCACATTGATTATCCCAATTATGGAATCTAATGGAAGGTGTGGAAATTTTGTTGAATATTATTACCTGGTATGAGGATTATAATAACTTAGTTTTCTTTCAAATGTGCATTTTTCTTAATTTTTTATTGTCTGTTTTGTTGTTAGCAGTGATTTGGAAGTAGAATATACAAAAATACAGCTCAGAGCAAAAAGGAACATTTGGAAATTATGCAAAAATTGCATCCAAAATTTTACCAAGCATTTGAGTTAAACAGAGTAAAATTGTATCCTGAGATGCTGGCTGAATTTTAATGATATCATTTGGTTCCTAACTTATGTCTCAGGCAGAAAAGTCCAGAAAAATGTAAAATATCTTGGGAACTGAAGATGACATAGCTTGACTACACCTGTCTTCTCATGTAATTTTGAAGCATTTGCCAGTTTTACCTGCATGTGGCATATCTTTTTGTTATTGCCTCATAGTAGTTAAGGCTTCCAGTTTCGTATAGTCTTGCCTAAATTAGATTTTTCTATAGAAGAGCATCCTCAGTGAATTAGAGTACTCCAAAATGCAAAAATAAACTCCACTGAAGTTCAGGTCTCTAGTGTAATAAAAATTAAAATTAGACTAAACGTAAAAACAAAAATCATAATTTTATATACATTATAACCAAAGATCAATAATATTTTTAAATAGGTATGCCAAAGCTAAATTAAAACAAAAGTAAGCCTTCAAAGTACCTCCTATGAGAGAGTATACTTATTCAATTGGTGCTGCTTTCCAAAGCCCATTTTGGTGGCATTTTTGAAGAATATCTTTAAAATAAGACTGTGAGTTGTATAAAAAAGTCAATCTAATTTACTTAGACTTCTACTTTGTGTCAGGTCCAATACAAATATATCCAGCTTTGATTGTTCAATAGTTAATTAACAAAAATCATTATGCATATACCATCACTGGTCTTATCTATGGAGGATATTAAAGCAAGCCAAGTAGCACACTAATAAACTTTCTGAATGCTTTTTTATGATCATAAATAAAGCTACAATAAAACTGACATTCTATTGGCAGAAAACTATATGAATTAACTAATAAAAACAAGCCCTATACTTCTTTCATGATAAGCCCTGTAAAGAAGAGTACAAAGTGGTAAGAAAGCATGTAATAGATAGACTTAATTCAGAATGAGGAAAGTGCCATTATATTTAAAATATAGAAGATAACTTTGCAATGTAGGAGAAGGCTTGAGATAAAACAAATATAAAATCTACCAGGAAATAAATCATAAACAAATTTTCTACCTTTGGAAAGCATTGTGTATTCAAGGAACTGAAATATGTCCCTCATCAAGAACCATGAAAAGACAAAAGCTTGATGAGTTGTTAGGCTCCAGGGTCACTTAATAGAGCTTTTAATCCCATGCTTCCTTATTCTTTCCCCAAACAAGAAAAGATTTCACCTACTTCTGCAAGTATTGGCTCAAAATCCAGGTAGGCTGAATCCTGGGAGGAAACTTCAGTTTCAATATCTGAGTGAGGATGAAGTAGGGAAGAGTTTCCCCTAAAAAGGGAATCAAATGTATACTTTTACTAAGTTAATTATGAGTTGGGAAGGAAATGATGTATACATGTATAATAATATTTGGTAAAAATTGTTTCACTATGTGCTTGCTGTATTAATTAGGGGTATTTTTTTCAACTCTAGCAGAGGGAAAAAACACAGTAGGATGGAGGAAACTCAGGAGACATGATAAGAATAGATAATAGGTAGGTTACTAACTGGTGAGACACATTGCTCATACATAGACTAAATGGATCACATGTGTTTTGAATACAGACAAAAATAATGGAACAATCAAGAATATCTTATATGTGGCAAAGAATAGAAATGCCAAGCAAATTTTAAATATAGAGAGCAGATTATGACAGCTCCAGATTGACAACTTATGTATATATTTTGTTGTTGTTATATAGATACACATATATGTGTATATATATTTGTTGTTCTATATATATGCATATATATGTGTATATATTTGTTATTGTTTATATGAAATTCAGATTTATCTTAGTGTCTACATTTCATCTGGAAAATATGTATTTATAAATTTATGATACACATTATAATCTATCCTGGCCCCATATAGATAAACCCTAGAGCTGCTAGGCACATTAGTCAGGGAGCTACATTTGTAGCAAGTGTCGTTGTAAGTCTATTTCTGCAATAGAGCAAGTGTGTCATGTTGACTCTAGGCACCTTCCATCTGCTAAACTCCTGTCCTAAGTCCTAACTCTGGTCCTTGTAACCACATCATCTGTAGGGTAGCCTGATGCTGCAGAGTGACAGGACATATGACAATTTCATGACAGAGGATTCAGGCAATGCATTAGTACACTTGGGCTACTACAACAAAATAAAACAAATTGGGGTGTTTAAATGATATAAATTAATTGCTCATAGTTTTGAAGGCTGTGACATCAAAGATCCAGGTGCTGGCTGATTGCATTCGTTGTGAGGGCACATGACATTTCTTCCATGTGAAATCAGAGAGCTAGGGGTGGAGGGAGAGTTCTCAGGTGTCTCCTCTTATAAGGACACTAATCTGCCAGGTGCAGTGGTTGAGCCCTGGAGTTTGAGACCATCCTGGGCAACATAGTGAGACCTCATTTCTATCAAAAGGAGGTTGAGACTGCAGTGAGTGAATATAACACCACTGCACTCCAGCCTGGACAAAAGAATGGGACCCTGTCTTAAAAAAAAAAAAAAAAAGATATGAATTCTATTGAAACAGAGCCCTATCTATCCTTTTTACTTCATTCAACCTTTATTACTTCCTTAGTGGTCGCATCTCCAATACAGCCCACTGCACACTGGGGTTAGGTCTTCAACACCTGAACTTGGAATGAACACAGTCTATCACAGTCTGAGTAGTATTTTAACCAACATACACATGATCCCATAAATATTTACTCACAATACCTCTTTCCCATTCCTTCATGCCGTATGTGTTAAATCAATTTAATATGTATGTGTAATTTCAGTAACTGAATTTGGTCTATTAGTTTTTCTGTTCTGTTATCAATGGATAGCTTGAAAAGTACTTGTTGGTAAACATTTCATTAACATAATTTACCACATACAAATGTGGGAAATTGGGCAGATTCTTTGACCAAAAAGTTCTAACATTTTACTTCTAGAAATTTATCAAAAAAAAAAAATAACAGTAACAAATAGACTAAAGATCTTATTGCTTTGTGTTTAATCTAATACACTAAAAGGATTTAAATGACTTATGACACATCAAAAGAATTAGACATCATGCAATCACTAAATTTGACATCGAAGAAGAATACAATTCAAAGGAAAATGACACAATTTTATGGGTAAAAGCAGGATGCAATCTGATAGAAGTGCAAATTACTGTAGTCTTCTTAAAAAGCAATTTAGTATTATATGTTTAGGTTTGACATGTATACCTAACAAACTACCTCTTACAAATCCAGCTTATAGAACTGAAAGTGCCAGTATATAAATCTTTATGTGTGCAGTATGTCTTTAACTTTCTCCATCAAATCCATACTGCCCCTTCTTCATTCTCTTCCTTTCCCCCTCCCCACCAGACTAATCTGTAGAGATTATGTGAATGGTCTCTTGTGCCACTTAACTTCTGATTGGGGAACCTCAGGAGGAGGCCAGAGAAGAGTTGGGTAGAAAAGTCAGATCATAATATTTAATTTCTTGACTCCTTTGAGAGGTAATTTGAGGCTGGCTACACTTATCAAGCATAGGTCATTTGTCATCTTAAAGCAGTCTTTTTTATGTGAATCTCTTCTTCAATTTGTGGTAACATTTACCTTTCTATGTCCCTTCTGTTCTAGGGATGATGATAACTTTATACTAGTAGTTCCAAGTCATAGGTATGTCCTTTTTGGCTCCCGTACAGTTTCACTTTGGAAATTATCTTTGAGATCTGATTGATTCAGTATAAAAGGATGTTTACTGCAGCATAGTTTGAAACTAAAAGTAACAAGAATTACATAAGAAGAATATTGGCCCACACAATGGAATTCACCTTTTATAGGGAACAAGTTAGATCTATGTTAGTAAAAGTAAATAGATACCCATAACAGACTGTTGTTAGAATAGCAAGTTACAATGTGATTAAGTACAATTTCATTCTTCTCTAAACAATCAACAATAGGTCCTATATTTTTGTGCTTATTCATATGCATATGTAATTCTGTATATCTTCAAATATGTATTTTATACAGATTGAACTTTGGGGGGCATTGTTTTATTGGTTGCAATGAGCACATGTCAATTTTGTAATTTTTAGAGAGTAACATTTCAAAAAATTAAAACCATTGGTTCTAAAAGTAACTTAAGAAATAAAACATTTAAAAATGCATATATAGTGTGTTACTATATATACACTGCTAAAATACCCAAAGGGATACATCAAAATTCTAACAGCCTTTGTTTCTGTGTGCTGGCATTGCAGGTGCCTAATTTTCTTCTCTCAATTATTGTTTCTGCTTTTTCTTCTTGTTTTTGCACTTCCTCTTTCTCCTCCTCCGTCACCACTAAACATAAATCATACATTATTAATAAAATATGATAAAATAAATTAACATTAAAATTTTATGTTAGTAAAATAAAGTGACATACTTTTAAAAGTATGTGTCGTAATATTTTTGACAGGAAGGAAGGTCAGACATGCTTCATTGTTGATTGTTTAGAGAAAAATTAGATCGCACTTTGCTCATTACATTGTAACTTGCTTAGAATAGCAAGTTAGAATACGACAACATGTTATGACTATCTATTTAACATAGATCTAGCTTGTTCTCTGTAAAAGACAAATTGTATTGCATGAGCCATTACTTTTAAAAGTATGTGTCATAATAGAGCGTAAATTAAAAATAAAATTCTAAACTCTCACTGACTGAACAAACTCCCTCTTGGCCAAGGAGATCCCAGAGAAACCTTTAAAACTGAGTCCCCAGCCATGACAGGAAGGAAGGCCAGACATCATTATAGCCCCTGCCGCTTTAGAGTTCAGGCACAACTGGTCAGCATTAATGTTAAAAAAGAAATCATAAGACGGACAATGCAGACTCTTTGCGGCAACAAAATAACAAATTATAAACAAGAGCTAAGGCCATTCCAAGCAAGGGGTAAGTCATGCCTGCTGGCCATCAGTCTTGCTAAACAGGTCATATTGTGGCTGACTCATCCTTATCTTAATTTAAACATTCGTTTCTGTTAACTCCAAGTTTTCGGACAAAGTCTTGTTTCTTTAATAAATTGCAAGTTAAAGAAATCTCTGAATCCTCCTATGACTTGCAAGCCCTTGCTTCAAGATATGCTAACTTTTCAGTCTGAACCAACCTTCCATGCACTGACTTACGTCGTTGCCTATGACTCTTGCCTCCCTAAAATGTATAAAACCAAACTGTCATCTGGCCACCTCAGATGCACTTCATTAGGACTCCTTCAGATTTTGATTCCCTAGACCGAGGTCACTCATACTGGCTCATAATAAGCCTCTTTAAAATATTTTATGGAGATTGATTTTTCTATTCACAAAAGATACAGACAAAATAAGTTACAACTTAGTTCTGACTGGGTGCAACAGAAATGGCTTTCTGTAAAAGGTGTAATTTGAACCAACAAAAAGTGTGAAAAATCTAGACATGGAGAGATTACAGGAACACATAGCTGGTGAAAGAAAAGGTACAGATGAAAGCATTGTTCTTGTAAATTATAGGATACGCATCTGTCTCGGTAAGCCATTCATTTTTGCTATACTATAGAGTGTAAGACTGAGAAGTAAAGTTTGAAAATTGCATAGAAATAAGTTCATGGGAGGCCACGTCACGGAGAGATGTATAGAGTGAATGGAATGGAATGAAGTCTTATTTGGAGGAGGTATTTTTTAAGCATACTAGTGGAAATTGGAAGTGGTAATTTTAGAAGATAATTCTGGCATGACTGTACTAGACAGATTGAGACTTGTAGGCAAGTGGGGAGAGAACCAAAGACACAAGGCCAGGGAGGAGGTTGTTCTGATGGTCCAGGAGAAAGAGGAGAGGTCTGTACATGAACAGTGGCATCGGTAATGAAAATGAGGGCTAGGCATGAGAGGTGTATAAGGAAAACATTTGCTTCCAAGTGATTGTGGGTTTTTTTTTTCAAAATTACATTTTTAATGTGAAAAGGGTGAGGGAAGAGTAAAGATGTGATGGTTAATATTGAGTGTCAACTTGGTTGAATTGAAGGATGCAAAGTAATGTTCCTGGGTGTGTCTGTGAGGTTGTTGCCAAAGGAAATTAACATTTGAGTCAGTGGACCGGGAAAGGCAGACCCATCCTCAGTCTAGGTGGGCACAATCTAATCAGCTGCCGGCTCAGCTAGAATTAAAAGCAGGCAGAAGAATGTGGAAGAACTAGACTGACTAAGTCTGCCGACCTACATCTTTCTTCCATGCTGAACGTTTCTTTCCTGCCCTCAAACACTGGACTCCAAGTTCTTAAGCTTTTGGACTCTTGGATCTTTGACCACAGACTGAAGGCTACACTGTTGGCTTTTCCACTTTTGAGGTTTGGGGACTCGGACTGGCTTCCTTGCTCCTCAGCATGCAGACAGCCTTTAGGACTTCACTTTGTGATTGTGCGAGTTAATACTCCTTAATAAACTCCCATATGTATATATATATACATGCGCACACACACGCATGCACGCACGCGCGTGCACACACCCAGAGATCTATCCTGTTAGTTACGTCCTCTAGAGATCCCTGACTAATACAAAGATATTCAAAAGTTTGAGTGTGGGAGACTAAGAAAGGACTGAGAGCATTACCAAAGCAGAGAACTTCATGAAAAGAGCAGGTTTAGCTGGTTTCGGTTCATCATTTTGAGCATTCAGTGAGCATCCTTCATTAGCCTCTATTTTCTTCTTTTAAAGTAGCTGTTACCAAGGTTGTCCAAAATTAGAAACTCTGATTAAACATTTCTTCCTCAGGTGCTTTTAGAACATCTGCATTGGAATGCATAGGAGTCAAACGTTAGAAATGGGAGAATTTAGTCAGAGGAAAGTGACTAAAACTACTAAAATAGGTGTGGGAGATTTCCCACACAAAGTTGATGTCTGATACCTGATAATTGTCTGAGATTGTCATTGGAATGAATACAGTGGGACAAGATTAAGGCAGAAGGAGATTATAAAAGGTCAGAATGAGAAGAGGAACCAAGTATCATTTGAAAGAATGTCCCAGGCATGAAACACTACAGACAAGCTGAAACAAGATTTTTCTTTAATGTACTGTTTTGTGTAAGTAAGCACAAAGTGGTGTAATGTACTACTTTGAGCAAAGTTGTAGTTATTCATGTTCCTTTGAACTAGATCTAGTAGTTCTTATGCTTCATTCTGACGCTTGATATTTGCCTTTTTGACCAGGAGTTGTATGAGATTTAAACGTGCAATCAGGTATAACGATTTTGGGTTTTGTTCTCTTAACTGAGGGTGCTATTTTCCAGATTGTCAAAACGTTTTTTGAAAAAAAAAATAATAACAGCAATGGTAAAGATAAAAATAATAGTAGTTGTAATAATGTCCAAAGGCCTGCACAGGCACCTTCTCATGTAATGGTCCTCTCTTCATTACCCTTTGATTATTTTGTCCCTCTTCAACTCTCAGAGCTTTAGTTCTTAGATTCAAAAATGATCTTTTCCATGAGGTAAATATTCATATACCATATGAACTGGTCATTTTAGAGAATTTCATACAATAAATTTTAATGAACAGTTAATTTGGAATGTTATCTTACTTGTTTTATTTATGTAGCAGCTTAACTTTGACACTTACAGATTCATGAGAGAGCTATGCCTATTTGGGGGAAGACATTTCTTCATAGAGATACTTTGTTTTTTGCAAACTGTGTAATACGCCGGTGAAGTGACCTGCTTCAATTCTTTGGGCATGAGACAAAACTTCAATGTGAGGAAACCCATTTTCAATAAAAACAGGTGCTCTAAGAATGTTGATTTAGTAATTGTGTCTCCAGGGGTCTGCCACAATCTAAATTCTAATTTTATTCATTTATTTTAATGATACTTCTGTGTGTTTGTATACCTGAATTATATATATTTTAATTTCAGGTATATAAATAAAGGACACTAAACAAATTAATACAAAAAGGAAAAAACAGCCTAAGGTAGCTTGAAGTCATTTGAAAGACCCTAAGCTTAGCCACTTCACGAAACCAGATAAATCCCCAAATTTTATTAGATGAATCAGTAGCCATTCTATTCCAATTATTAGCTTATATATCTACATATATATCTACATTTGTATCTCAGTATGCATTTTGAAAAGTAGCTCCTTTTCGGTAAAATTATTTTTCAGTTTAAATTGTCTCTAATTTAAATTGGCCCTCTCTCCTAGTGATCGCCAATGGTTGAACGTAACTTGACTCCCTCCTGACGGTTGGGGCAGTTGGTTCAAGTGAGGAATGCCATTTTAAGCAGTTCCAGGTTATAATGTAAAATTAAAATTCTCTAAGCAGCAATATCTGCTAATATTTTCTCATTTTACTACAATAATCCAATTTGCTTGTTTGGAAACCAGTATGACTAATTAACGGAGTAAACGATCAGAACGAACTAGCAAATAGAAAGTTTCATATTAAATATAGCTTTCAGCTTTGTAGATAGGCATTTTCTCAGGGCTTGTCTTTGGTGCAATCGTTACTGAGTTTAGGTGGCAAATTTAATCCAGACCCCACCTACAGTGGAAAAGACACTCATAAATTACCACTGGGATTATTTGTTGGCTCTGTTAGTAAAATCTACAGACTAAAAACTCTGCAATAACAGCTATAATAAAATGTACGGGTACAGTCAACTTCCTCATACACACCACCTTATCACAGCGAATTAGGGACATATTGTGATGTTATCAGTCAAATTAGTTTCCCAGTTCAATTGATTTTACTAATGATGCATAAATATATTTCTATGAAATTTCTATAAAAATTGAAATGAACCAAAATTCCAGTTCAGACCAAAGAACCATTTTCCCTGAGAAAAGTCAAAAAATATGGATGAAAATATTTGCCTAAAATGAACTTAACTTTAATTCATAAAGATTAATCAACTTTAAAAGTGTGAGGGGTTGGGCACAGTGGCTCATGCCTGTAATCCCAGCACTTTGGGAGGCAAAGGTGGGTGCATCACGAGGTCCGGAGATTGAAACCATCCTAGCTAACACAGTGAAACCCCATCTCTACTAAAAATGCAGGAAAATTAGCCGGGTGTGGTGGCAGGCACCTGTAATCCCAGCTACTCAGGAGGCTGAGGCAGGAGAATGGTGTGAACCCGGGAGGCAGAACTTGCAGTGAGCCAAGATCACGCCACTGCACTCCAGCCTGGGTGACAGAGTGAGACTCCGTCTCAAAAAAACAAAACAAAAAAAACTGTGAAAAATTTAGACATGGAGAAATCATAAAAGCATGTAGCAGGTGGAAGAAACAGCACAAGTGAAAGATTTGTTTTTGTAAAGTATGGGATTTACCCTTCGTCCATTCCTCATTTTGATTTATTTATTATCTAAGATGAGAAGAGGACTATATTTTAACTTTAGCAATATATTTTTATTTAAAAATAGGCAATGAAAACCAGATTATAAGTAGACATTGTCAATACGACAGTGATTTTGTACATTTTTAGAAATATAATTTCTTATTCAGCTATGGTTATAACTATTCAAAACACAAATAAAGCTCAGGCTTTATTCCTTAGGCTATTTGTCTATCCCATACATTTTCACTGAATGTCTACTGTGTACTTGGCTCTACTCTCTATCCCAGGGAGAAGTCAAAGGGTATCGTAGAAAATCCTTATGCTGTGAAGGAAGAGACCTGTGTGTGTGACCCAGAACCTTGCCTACCAGCTCTTTATCATTTAAATTACTTAGTTAAATCTTTCATACCTCAGGAGAAGTTAAGAACGCTCATCTCAGTATATTGGTAAAATATTTAACACAATGTATGACAAAGAGTGGATGCTGTTAATGCCGGTATATTTTCATTTTTTACTTATCTGAGATTTAACTATGAACAATACACGACCTTTACCCATAAGAGACCAAAACAATGGGTAAGATATAAATGTAAAAAAGTACAAATGAATATTATGAATTGTCACCTTTGTTAAAATGGTTCTAAAGGCCAAACACAGCGCTATAGGGCCATATATTCACACATACAAACACGAAATGTTTCCATATTTCAGAATGGATACATAATACACATCATAAAGAATATATGACATGGAACTCCATAATTCAAACATACAGGAAATAATGATGATGGTGATAATAATGATGGTACAAGCATTGTGCCAAACATTGTGTGAAATGTTTCACATTATTTTGGATAGCCTCAAAACAACAGAATAAAGCTTATATTACAGTTATCGTTATCCAACGAGGACACTGAAGATTGGAAATATAAAGTAATTTTTCCTATATCACACAATTAGGGAGTGTAGGACAAGGAATTAACTCAGTTCATGTTCATCAAAAACAAATATTTTATTAACATTCTAGCTCAGCTCTACAACTGCAATACAACTTTATTCATTCTGCATTATTTGTTCATTTATTATTTAAAATGAAAAGAGTGCTATATTTTAACATTTAGTGATGTATTTTTATTGAAAAATAGGTAGTGGAAACCCAGATTATAACTAGACATTGTCAGTATAATAGGCACTTTGTCCATTTTGAAAAACACAATTACTTCTTCAGATATAGATACAACTATTCAAATTGTAAAGCCATTTATTGAACACTAATATTGCCTTATGTGGGAGACAACTTAAAAACAAGTTAAAATACACACACATCTATTTAAGAATAACCTAGAAATTACAGAATCCAGCTGACTAGAAGCCTTCCAGCTGTTTTCACATATGAACTAATCTGACTTTCATTTCTTTCCCACTGACTTTCTTCTATAAGGTGAATTTTTTTATAATATAATATTGTTTTTTTCTCTCCTGAGGCACTAACAATAATATGTTCTTTATTCTTGGTGAAGAGCATGTATTTCAGTGATATCTTCTTGCCATTAACTTTCATTTATCAACCTAACAAATTTGGAGACTACTAGTAATCTAAAATGTTGAAAATAATATTGTTTTCACATTAACTATCACAATCCATATCATATAGAGTAGAAAGCACGATTTCATAAAATCATCTATATAAACAAACCCCAATTACTCATTGTTCTGAAGGACCAAGAGTGACAAAGAATATTTGAAATACACAGATAATCCCAGAAGGCAAATGTGCACTTTTTTAGGAAGTTATTACAGTACACATAAGAAATAATGTGGGCTTAAATTAGCCCAGTGGCAGTGGGATTGAAAGAAAGCACAAATTAAGAAATACTAAAAACTCAGACTTTAACAAATTTTTAGAAATTTTTGGATATGTGTGTACGGAAGAGAAAGGAGATGAAGTTAATTTTGTATTCTGAACTGAGTGACTCGGGGGCATTACAGAATCACCGTAGTACAGAAATAGGAAGAATGTTAGAGTTCACCTGGCTTCAGGATTCAGATCCAGATATTTGGCCATTGAATGACTGACTCAAGGGATCCAAATGGTCAAAAGAAGATTTGGGATATTGAAATCAGAACTCCTAACTGCCAAATACTCAGTTAAGTTTTCTTTCAGATATCCTTAATTTAGAAACAAAAGTGAGAGAATCAGCACATAGGAGGGTGTGTGCATGTGTGTGAGTGAGAGAGTGTGTGTGTGTGTGTTTCAGGGGCTGCTGGTGATGAGTTTGAGACAATAGACTGTAAGCAGAAGATTTATGAATGTTCTAGTCTACTCTCAGAAGCACCAAAATGTGTGATATACTTTGGAAAGCTTTTCAATCTGATTCACTTTAATGTTGGTATATTGGCATGTAAGTGTGTAAGCTTTTATTATCTGAATGGTTAATTTTTGAAGCGAAGCCTTTTCTATAATATCTGATACATAGAGTAGTGATGATGTTTTTCATTTAATATATAGATATTTAAGTATTCAGCTATTCAAACTATAATACTACAACCCCTGGCAGGAACCACTGATACAGCCATTTCTTTCATCAGAATGCTTCTTCAGCTATACTATATATGTTCAAAATAATAGGTTTGTGGTACTATTGATTTCACTCTTGTTTGTAAGAACAAAAATTTAGCATCATTCAATGTCTTAATGTAGCTTTCCAAAATAGAAAAGAACAGAAAATCTCTTTACATCTTAATATGGAATGCACTCCAAAGTACACAGAAAACTATTTCCCCATATTTCTAAGACAGAAGAAGAAGAAAAAAAATACACACACACACACACACACTTGCATGTGTATAAAAATTCTGGAAGCATAAACAGACAACTAGAAGTAATGGTTTACATGCTGGAGAATGGGAACTAGGTGGACAGGAAAAAAATGAGTGGTGAAATTTTCACTGAAAACGTTATATTTTCAAGTCTTTGAAAGATGTGAATATATTATCTAGCCAATAAATAGGCAAACAAACTTTAGTTCTACTTACTAAAGTTCATATATATATACAGACACATATAGTTTAAATATGTACATATATTTATGTATACACACACATATATACATATATATTTGTATACATAAAACTATTTCTCTGGTCAAGTTTCTCTTTTCTTTTCTCTCTTAAAATTTGTAAGAACATTTTAAAAATCCTGTTGTGGTAGGTCCACTTAGGAATATATAAATGCACCAGACTTGCCTTCTAAGTGTTTGTTTACTTATATTATGATGTATTGTGTGAAGTTCTAGAACCAAAAAATGTAATTTTGTTTATTTATTTACTAGTTTTTCAAACTATGTTATATCAAAAGCTCTCCCCTCCCCTGTTGCACCTGATTTTTATGATGGTCAAAAGCAACAGAGTACTTAAAACAAAACTTAAAAGAAAAACATCACTCAATAATAATGTTTTTAATTAATGTTGTTAATTATCGGCAATAGTGCTTTCAAATTTGCAATTACTATATCTTATTTGATTCTCTCAAGAAAATTTTATTACATTTATTATCTAGATAGAAAAACTAAAGCTTTTCCTAACTTAGCCATTTGAGATTATGCAGTTAGAATACTAAAGAGCAAAAGTAAGAGTGTAGGTCAAATTTCAAGTCACTATTTTACTGGCTTCTTGAGATATTAGTTATATAATTATTAATAAGCTCCAGTACACAAGAAGAACATTCACAAGAACTTAACAGGAGAGGAAGATGTAGAAGAGTACCTAACCATTTCAAAGCTTCAGCAAAACTTCGTTTAGGTTTAGGTTCAGCTGGAGAACAGAGATACAGTGTTCCCCTAACAAGACTCTCCTTGATTCATTTCCACCCTACTGACCTCATACATCCATGGGTGTTCTCCACAGCTTTACCTCTGTCAGTTTACTCACTATTTCACTAACTAGAATCCCTTTCCTCTTCCTTATCCACTTATTTTTGACTTCTCAGGTCAAGTGCTTCCTTTTTGATGTAGCACTTACCTGGAAGATGGTTCTGAGTAGGAGGGTGACGGGAGAAGAGTATTGAATACCAACTAGTATATTAAATTATCTGACATTAGCATGTTTCATGGCATGGCATTTACACAGAAAAATACTTCTATATGACAAAAGCTTAATGCATTGACTAAAGGTATTTGCATTTCACAAGCAGACATTGAATTTTTTTAACTTAAGCAAATACATGTATATGATCTGACAGTGGACTAAAATAAGTTTGAAGGAAAAATCTTGGGAAACAAAATAGGAAAACATGTTTCCAATGCTGGACTCTGGAGTTTCTTGCTGGGCTACATAAAGGCAGCATCTGGGAAGACACAGTAAATTCTTGGGGTTATGTTCATCTGGCAACACAGCAAGGTGGTTTGAGATAAATTTTGGAGGCAAACTGCCTGAATTTCAATCCTAGCCTTATGAATGGGGACAAGTCACTTCAGCAATTTTACTCATCAATGGCCTCTTTTGTGAAATAAGAGGTAATATAAATGCCTACATCACAGGGTAATAGAACAGATTAAGAGGATTTAGAATGGTGCCGGGCACAGAGAAAGTGTAATAGATGGTAGCATTCAGACATTTTTTTTTTTACTGTTTCCTCTGTCTTCTGTTTCCTTGCTATTATGTTACATTTGCTTAAAAGTGGCTGGATTCTAGCATGCCCTGTGCAGTTGAGAGGACAAGATGTTGCATCTTTGCAGCTGCAACTTACCTTTGGCTGTCTGCTGCATTGCATGTTTCAAATCTTTCACAAAATAAATTGGATAATATGTTGGGGGGTAAGCAACTGAACTGTACATCATGTATCAGTTACAGAACAGTTATCCACAAAGCTTAGAATATAGGATTTCATACTGGCAGTTCTCCATCTTAATGAGTGACACAGACTCAGACATATAGAAGATACTTTAGAAATCATCTAGCACAATCACAAATTACACGTGAAACACTGAGGCTGCCTGGTGACTGGCCAGTGTTAGAAAATTATGGCGGTATGTAGCATCAGAAATTTTTAGTTAGAACAAATAAAACGGGCAGAGCTGTACTTGAATTTTGCCTCCTACTCCATATGGTAAACATCCCTGGGAATATTCATCAACTGTTTCTTTATATCTAAAATACATTTTGGGCACAGGTTGGGATGGGGTGGAAGGTCAGGATCATATATGAAAAAGTCTTTAATCCAGAAAGTGTATATATTAATAGTAAGTGTATTAGTTAGAACAAGTAAGTTGTAACAAATAAGCCATAAAATGTAAAATTCTATGGTTGATTGTATTATTGTTCTCAATTACTCACTCTAGGAAATCCTTCCCTGAAGGATATGACACCACCACTCCCAAACCTCCACACACATGCCTAGACGTGGAGCTTGTTCATTGACTATTTAGCCTGTGGAACATGAATGGAAGTGATGAATGCTACACAACTATAAATGTGATTAACTATATTATCTAGGATTCTTGAATTTTTCACTTTGCCAAGAGAACAGCATATCTCAGGTAAAGTATTCTGCAACCTCGTCCTCATGTGGTAAAGACACACTGAATAAATACAGAGTCAACCACTGCCTGGGGCAGAACTGCCACTAAACCTCAGTCCTCAAGTAATGTAAGTGAAAAACAAATATTTGCTCTTGTAAGACACTGAGATGTTGGGGTTTCCCCTCAGAAAAATCTGACTAGTAGAAAGCCTTAAGTGATAGTTTATTTTCTTCACATAGTCCATAACAAGTGTTTATGATTAGTGGACAGCTGTCCTTCAGGGATCATTTTGTGACTCCAACTTTTTCAATATATGCTTTCCAATGTCATTTTACTTAGGATTTAAAAGCATGTAGAATTGGGAAGAGCATGAATACCTGAGAATGGGAAGGTTTTATGGGCAGGGTCTAGAAGAGCAACACAATATTAACTTACCTCATTGGCTGAAACTTAATCATATGGTCACATCTCACTGATTGAAGAGAAAATTGATCTTGTGAAATACTTGATAGCTTCTGCCACAATAAGTTTGCAAATAAATAACAGCTCCCTTTCTTGCCATGAAAATATACCTCCTTTATACTTCCCGTAAGAGGCAACTCTTTTATATATAGCGAATAGAGTAGCTTTCCCAATGATTCACACTTCTCTGGCAATTGATTCAAACACTGTCCAAATCTGTAATAAATAAATTTAAAACCTCTCAAATTTCATAACTTGTTATTTAAGCTCTTCTACTATCTAATGCCAACTTAACTTTATAACATACATGTTTCATCTTCATGCACCCTATGCTCAGTTTGAATAGAACAATAAAACTATTGTAGTAAAAACATCATTCATGATATCCTCTTTTTTTTCCATGCACCTACAGAAATTGACTCATTTCTCAGTTTTAATTTATGTGAATTTTGTCTTTAGCTATCCCTCGTGGACCTCTGAGCCCTGCTAGGTACTCTTGGCCCAGACAAAAATACTGCTGTTGCCTCTTGTTGTGCAACTTCATACTTAGTCTAAATCATTAGAGGAAGGCATGCCAAAAGGAAATCAGGAAAGAACAAAAGATGCCCTAATAATCTTACTTACGGAATTTAAGCAGTAGTAGGTAGCATATGGGTTTCATGTTAAAGGGCCAGGCAAATTAGAGTACCAATACAAGAAAGACATTTTAAAGTGCTGGAGAATAGAAGGCTCAGGCAAGTGCTCTGATCCCAAGCATCTGTTGCTCTTGCTGACATTTTTCACGCTGCTCAGAGTCCAAATGTCAGCATTCAAGACTACTTAAGGCAGCTGAAATGGAACATATTCTCCCCACTTTTTAATCCACAGGAACTGTGTCACCACTTCCATAGAACTTTCCTTGATTCCTTCTATTATAAGGTAATAACTTATTTTTCTGAACTCACTTTTAGCAAATAATTTCTATCATAATTTGATACTTAAGATATTTTTGCAATATTTTTATTTGGATACATATCATACCAGAATTGTATAAAGTAAATAATATATTTAAAGCATCAAACACAGTACTGAGAACATAGGAGTAGCTCAACAAAACAGTGATACTATGTGCAGGAGGATGTTCAGACTCTTTTCCAGTTTTATTTCATAAAAAAAAGTTTTAAAAATAATAGTTTCATGAACAAATCAACAAATTAAGGTAGTATAGAAGATTAGGAAGCCAGTAAATGACAGTCACTTATAAACTATGACCTTGGCCAGGCACAGTGGCTCATACATGTAATCCCAGTGCTTTTCAGAGGCCAATATAGGCGGATTCTTCAGGCCAAGAATTCAAGACCAGCGTGGTCAATATAGTGAAACTCTGTTTCAACAAAAACTAAAAATTAAAAAAAAATAAATTAGTCAGGTACGGTGGTACACTGCTTGAGGATCACTTAAACCCAGGGGTTCAAGGCTGCTGTGAGCTATGATGGGGCCACAGCACTCCAGCCTGGGTGACAGAGTGAGACCCTGTCTCTAAATAAATAAATGAACTATAATCATGGACAAATCTTTTACTTTCCTTGGATTTCATTTTTGTCTTAGTCCATTTGTGTTGCCGTAAAGGAATACCTGTTGTTCAGTATTTTATAAAGAAAACAAGGTTTATTCATCTCCTCATTTTACTGGCTGCCCAGAGAGGGCATTAATCTACTTATGGGTGTCCCCTGCCATGACACAGTACCTTCTACTAGGCCCCATCTCCAACACTGAGTATCAGATTTCAACATGACATTTGGAGTGGTTAAACAAACTATAACCAAACTATAGCAATGTTCCTTATGAATAAACGAGTGTTGAACAAGAAGCTCTCTAAGTTCCCGCATACTTCTAATAGATATTGTTCTTCTATTGTTGTTTACGAAATTATCACAAAATAAAAACCACACCCATTTGTTATCTCGTAGTTTCAGGGGTCAAACAGAAGTCTGGGCACAGCATAACACAACTGGGTTCTCTGCTCAGGGTCTCACAGGACTGAAATCAAGGTGTTGACAAGGCTGGAATCTTATCTAGAGACTATGGGGAATAATCTACTTCAGATTGTTGGTAGAATTTAATTGTTTATGATTGCAGAACTGAAGTCCCTATTTTATTGACATGGCCCATTGAACCTTTTTCATGCTTTAAATCTCTGACTTCATCTTTTGCCTTTAATTATATCTGCAAAGTTCCTTTTCTCATGTAACGTAACATAAGCACAGGAGTAAAACTAAGGAGCGAAGACTATGGGACCAAAATTTTACCTACGACAGATAGAGAGATATTCAAAGGACCTCTAGAACTGTACAAAGACAGAATTAGCAGCTTTCAGTAGTAATGATTATCTAGTAATTGGAGATTTTCAAGCAGAGACATTTTAGACAACAATGTTTGAAGCCCAAATTTTTCCCAGTCCTGAAAATAAATAACCACCTGCTAGGTAATTGTGATTTAAACTATTAACTGATTGAATTTTTTATTTGTTGAAATCCACTCATAGTTATTTACTGTCATGAACAGCCTAAGGAAGGTGCAAGAGGTACTCCAGGACATGTCAGCGTCAACAAGGAAAGAGCTGTGTGAGTGTCTTTGTCTCATTCCAAAGCTAAGGGAGCCACAGTAACATGTCTTCCATAAAATATCACATAAATGTGCACTTAATTTATGCCTCTTAGTTAATTCATATATCTAAGCCTGACATAAGCTTAAATATTAATGTGCATATTGCAATACAGCTAGCAAACTTGGAAAAGTATGTGAAATGTATTTAGAAATAATGCAAATTAGAGAAACTCTTCAAATATATCTGGAATGTCTCTGCATGCAGAATGAGCATCCTCTGGGAGTGTTCCAATTTTACCTGCTGTCATCGCTCTCCAAATTACTTTAGAAATGCCATGCATGGTTGAGTGCTGTATTCACAGGTGGCTCTGTATCAATGGTGTCTAATGATGGCATGCATAGGGAACAGAGAGGAGGAGTAAAATATCACCTTCGAATATGTGATATTGGTAGACCTACATTAGCAAATGTGAAGCACATTCTAATAAAACCTCCATCATCTGGAAAGCTATTGAAGAAGGAAAAGTGTCTCAGCCACCTGAATTTCCTTGTCTGTCCTTGATTACCTTGAATTCTCTGCCTGCTTTCAAACTTGTTGAAATAGCTTCTAAAGTGCACGTATTCCTTTCTTGGACTAAGAAGTTTTGTGTCATAAACGTTATTGAATTACTGTTTGAGGAAATCTATCAGATTTTTATCAAAGATTAAAGTAGAAATAGACAAACTATTAGTGATCAGATTAAATTGCTCTGAGTCCAACAGTTACCTCAGAAATTATATGTTCAAGTGGCATGCGTGAGCGATCAAATATATTTGTAATACTAACCTATGTTTTTACCATTTAGCTCCAATGTTAATGTGTAACACTTTCAATTCGTTAAGGATACTAGTGAATGGAAGTTTATTTTACAAAATGGAAATCAATGCTGGTGCTTGTACTACATTCTTTTAACCATTCCTAGCTCTATAACCAGCTGGAAGTTGGTGAGAGACATGCATTGTGATTATTTCAAAATGCTGGATTAAATCAATGATTTTCAAACTTGAGTTATCTATGTTGAATGACCGTATATCCCAGTTTTCCCAGGAGAGATCTGATTTATGCCTGGCCTGACCTAAAAAATATTATTTTTGTTCCCTTTCACATTCAGAAGTGTCTCAGTGAAATAATAAATTACAATAATACATAATAAATACATAATACACACATTTATGCCCTATTTATGGATATTGTTGAGAAAAAAACAATAAAAGGTAAGGTATGCAAAATAAAGGTAATAAAGTCAACCAATGCTTATAATTCTTATACAATATTATGAACAAAATAAATGTACAAATAAGATAAAAGCTAGCTGGCAAAATTGATTCTAATAACAAATATTTAATGTCAGAGATCATGGTATTTTGGGTCTAATGGGGGGAAAATGCAACTTTGAAGCAGGTTCTATATTGAATCTGTGTTTTGGAAGTTTTTTTTAATATTTTTATTGATACGTCATAGCTGTACATATTTTGGGGTTGTGTGCGATATTTCAATACTTGTATATAGTGTGTAAAGATCAAGTTAGGGTAATTGAAATATCTGTACCTCAAATATTTATCTTTTCTTTGTGTTGGGAACATTACAACTTTTCCTTTTCTAACTAATTTGGGATATTCAATAAATTATTATTAGCTATAATCCCTACTGTACTATTGAATACTACAACTTATTCCTTCTAACTGTATTTTTTACCAATTAAGCAACTTCTCTTCAGCTACCTCCTCTCTCACTCCATTCCAGCCTCTGACAATCACCATTCTATTATCTACCTCTATGAAATCCACGTTTTCAGCTCCAACACATGAGAACATGGAGGAGTGAGAACATGTGATATTTGTTGTTCTCTGTCTATCTTATTTCACCTAACATAATGACCTCCAGTTCAATCCATATTGCTGCAAATGATGAGACTTCACTTTTTTAATGACTGGATAATATTCCATTGTGTATACATGCCACATTGTCTTTATCCATTCATTCATTGATGGTCACTTATATTGCTTCCATATCTTGGCTATTATTAATAGTGCTGCAATAAATATGAGAGTGCAGATATCTCTTCAATATACTGATTTTCTTTCTTTTGGATATATCCCTAGCAGTGGATTGCTGGATCATATTGTAGTTCTATTTTTAGTTTTTTGAAGAACCTCCATAATCTCCATAGTGGCTACATTACTTTATGTTCCCACCAACAGTGTACAAGGGTTTCCTTTTCTTCCCATCTTCATCAGAACCTGCTATTTCTTCTCTTTTAATAATATCCATTCTAACTGGGTTGAGATGATATTTCACTGGGGTATTGATTTTCATTTCCCTGATGATTAGTAATGTTAAGCATTTCTGAGTGTTGTCCACTCACTTTGTTACTTATTTCCTTTTCTGTGCAGAAGATACTGTAGCTGGATTTAATCCCATTTGTCTATTTTTGCGTTTGTTGCCTGTGCTTCAGAGGGCTTACCTCAAAAAATCTTCACCCAGATCAATGTTCCGTAGCATTTTTTCAATGTTTTCTTCTAGTAGTTTCATAGTTTCAGGTCTTACATTTAAGTCTTTAATTCATTTTTAGTTGATTTTTGTATAGAGTAAAAGATGGGGATTGAGTTTTATTCTTCTGCAATA